GGTCGTCCCAATATGCGTTTTTGCAATTTGCATATAGGCAAAAACGCATAAAAACGACCAGGCTTCGTGCAAAAAACTAACAATCATATAAATGGAAGCCCATACCGCCCTGTAATGCAGCACTTTCATCCCAACCGACGCCCTTTCTCCTGCGTGTCGGAAAGAGACCAGTGCAAGGCCATTGTGAACCAAAGTGTAAGGCTACAGCGCAGGGATCATTCCTGATATTAGCGATCTGCGAGTTACATGAAAAAAAAAATGCGCGACTGCACTGGCAAGCCTGCTGCGCTCCAACCTGGGTTTGCATCTGTGCAATCCAAAGGCGCATATTGTCGAGGGGGTATCTGCGTGTGTGTGTGTGTTTGTGTGCGTGTGTGTGCCTATGTCTGTGTGTGCGTCTGCTGATTTTTCATCACGAAACCTGCAAAAGCTGCAAGACTGAAACTTTGGCAACTTACTTTACGTATGAACCCGTATCTCCAAAGCGGGTGCTCATGTCCGTGTGAATTCATGTACAGGCACATGAAAGCTCTGGCATGAAAGTTGGCAACTCGAGAACCAGAAAAGGTAGAAAGCTATAGTTTTAAGGGGCGTTCCCTATCCACGTAGAACTTAAAGATTTAAAATTCAGCACTTAGGTGTGAGTGGTTTTCACGTACGAACACATGAAAATTTTTGAAGTGAGAGCTGCTAACTCGGGAATCAGAAAAGCCAGAAAGCCGAAATTTAAAGAGATGTTTCCCGTCATGCACAGTCTGATGATTTGAAATTCAGCACCTTGTAATGCGTGGTACTCAAGTGCGATCAACTGATAATTTTTGGCGGTTAAGTTGCTAACTCGAGAACCAGATTAGTCAGAAAACAGAAATTTTAAGGGGATGTTTTTTTTTTCTGACGGTCGTGGTGGCCAGCCTCAATTCTTTTAGCTAGAAGTATCTGCTGTTAGCGATACCGGTACGTTGGCCAATTATTTATTTTTAAAAAATTAGTAAGGTTTCTTATTAAGCTTTTGTAATATTTTTTGAAAAGCTGGAACCCATTTTATTTGGATAACCGGATCCCATTTTGCTCAGTACATAAATCGTCGCCAACTTGAATACATCCAGTATTAATAGTTGGCAGCAATTCATCTTGCCACAGCTGCCACTGACCTAAGGTTCCACAGTACTATACAGTCATGTGCGCGCTGTATTTGCGAAACAGATCAACATAAGAATAACTCGTTCAGGTGATGGAAAAACGTTTATAAGCTAGTGCAGTTTGAAGTCTTGAGGCATCGTACTTCACAAATTCCAGTGTTCCACCTGGGAAAAAAAAGATGCGCTGGAAATTTCACGCTAGATGCTGATTAGTAAAATTTTGTTTTACTTTTTGACGTACATTTTAACAAGAGACAGGATTAACAGTCATTTCACCAGCTGTTGCATCACCGTGGTCGGCCAGCTAGTGGCCTTCAATGTATTCTTAGGCCACTATGTTTTTTCCATCCCTGGTCGAGGAGAAATTTGAGGTATGAGCACGTTTTTTCCGAAAACTCCAAATTAAGGTACTTTCTCAAACAAATTTTGAAAAGTAGGATTCAAAAATCATTTTTTTTTTCATAGCTCTTCGAAAAATAAGGATTGGCAGGTGA